CTGCCTTTTATGCATTTTCTCTGGCCCTCCCCCAGAGCACTGGGATTGGAAGGGACCTCAAAGAATGCTGACAGGTCACTGGCCAGCCACACATGTCAGTCATGAAAGCATTCCTTCCTCCTCTTCCCTTCCCTCCCCATACTTTCCTTTTCTTTTCCCCCCACAGGGAATCCAGTATAGGCAAGTCAAATATTCGACCCTTGTCGAATATTCGACTCGCGCTGTTAATATTCGACTTCCAGTATTCAATTTGACAGCTATTCGACCAGCTGCTATTCGACTTGACTTTCACTTTTCAAGGTCGAATATGTCAAATATTTGTCGAATCGAATACTAAGTCGAAGCTTTGCACAGCCCTACTAACTGGCCTATAGTTACTCAGGTCCTCCCTCCTCCCTTTCTTGTAGGTGAGCACAACATTGGCTCTCTTCCAGTCCTCATAGACCTCTTCAGAGTGCCACAAGTTGTGGAAGAGTTTCGCCAGGGGTTTCACAATGACTTCGGCCAGCTCCTTTAGAACTCTTGGTCAGACAGTGAAAAAACTGGTGTATACTACCAACTGTTATTACTGTTGCATCCTCTTGGTTATTTAGCCTTAGTCTTAAAGTCAATTCCACATTTTCTTTTTGTTTTATACTTTTGAATAGAAGAATCAGATTTGTCAAAAAGCATAAACAATTTTTAAAGTTGCACCAATAAGAAGGGACTCCCTCGAGGCAGGTTTTTGGCTCAGCAGACTTAAAATGGGCTGAAAATTTTCTTGAGGTCCATCAGAAGGTGTCATCTATTCATTTTGTGTCCAGGGTATATGTAACCTGTATAAAACCAAGCCAAGAGATGTGGTAGATTCTTTGTGTAGAAGGAAGGGGGTCTTGAGCTTTTGAGGATATCGTGGAGGCAGGAGTTTGTGGAGAACTTTTCATTGTTCCCTGCTAACTCTGCAGCTATTTCAGATAATTTGCTAGTTGGAGTCACTGCTCTTTCAAAAATCATCAATTCCTTGTGGGCCCTAATCAGTCCCAAAGGAACCTTGTAGAGTTTTCTGGTCTGCTTGGTTCTCTCTTGAAATGTTCTCTGTGAAAAAGGGATGATTTAGACCCATGGGGCTGAAATGCCTTTTCAGCATACAGAAGAGTCTTACAATGAAAATAGCATTCACAAAAAGAACTGGGGTTCACAGATTGATGTGGCCATATCTAGACAAATACTAATGTGTAATAGATTGTTTAACCTGTATACTTCCAGTGATCTCATTATTGGTAGAATGTACTTCATTTAGATGTAGACTGTAACTATCATGCAGTCATTGCCTCTTCAAGAAATTGGCTCCCATCCATTCAACATTTATGAAGCAATGATGGTAGCTGACATTTAACAGTTGTTCTTTAATTGTCAAAGAATGGTAGGCTATAACCTGAACTTTATATGGCAGCCTATCTTTGGAAAAGGGCAATAAGAATAATGATAGTTCCTTGTTAAGGTCACTCTGACCTGGTTCTGTCTGGTGTCTAAGTCATTTGTAGACTTTCTCAGGGTTCATTGTTACAGATGGTTTCATTTTATAGGAGAAATGACTATTTTCCAGCTTTGCACTGACCTTGCAGAAACAACTGTTATCAGTATTGTAATGATAGTTAAAGTCAGTTTTTGAAACTGGAAACAAACTGTTTATTAATACACTTGCAATATAAAGTTCAACTGTTACTATTGCTATTTAGAAAAAAAGGTCCAGTGCTTGTTAGACCTTCTAGCTCCAAAACCATTGGCTTAATTTCTTATGTCAGGTGATGGATTGCTCCCCCTGTATGATCTTTCCTGTAAAAAAGTAGAAACAGCTAGTAGCATGGTTTTATAATGCATAAGGAGGAAGAAGATAGTAATGGTGTGGTGGAATTTGGATGATAGTTTATTGTGTGTGCAAAATTGGTTCCAGGCCTTATAAAACACAGTCAAACTTTGATTAATTTGATCACTTCTCAGTGGTTTCTGTTCAGGTTTTGGCACTAGCTAGTTCATACTGGTTTTGACTGGGGCATTGTGGTATTTAACTGGGTTTACTGTTTGCTCTATTACTTGTATACTAATTAAGTAGTAATAACATAAGGAGATATTAATATCAGCTTTTCTGTCCCCCCTTTCTCCCACATAGTTTAGAGACCACTGGTTCTTTATAGGTTCATGGGAAAATAGTAGGGATGTCTGGATTCTTGTGTTATTTTCCTTTCTTTGAAAGATGCCTTGTAACAATTGTGCTAAAATTTAAAAATGTCTATTCTCACAGGTTCCCAATGTAGTGAAAAGGCTATGGGATGAAATGAGAAAAGCTAGCATAGGAAGATTAAAATTTCAACTCCCTTTGACTGCCAGGGAAATTTGCTCAGTACATGGCAACAATAATATCATCATTGCTTTTGCCTTGGGGAAATATCTGTAGTTCCCACTACTGGTCCCTAAGAGCCACTGGAGGAAGTGATGAGCAAGTATATTCCTTGGTTGTCTTCTATTTCTAGAAAGCATTATATTCTACTCTTTGCTTTTTGGAGTGTAGTAACTTCCAAAGCCTCCATCCTCAGAGCAACTGAATTTGATTGAATTTGGTGGCAGGAACTAATTTAGATTGGCCCTGCCATTTTTTTGCCTCTTTTCATCTCTCTGAGCATCTCACAGATTGACACTTAAATTGACTTGACCCTAGTTAGGTGGATATAAATGTAACATCTGCATGTACAGATGTCTGCGAGGGTTAGAATGGAGTAGAGACTGAAGAGGGCAAAGAAAAAGAGGGGGGGTTGTAGGTAGGCATAGATTTAATGGAATAAGGGAAAGAATCCAGGGCACTTTTTCTTGTTAATGGACTGGTATGCTCATCACTGTTTTTGTTTGTTTTTAAAGATTTAACATCACTCGTTATTTTTAATGCTGGTATATTGGCTTGATTTTGCCAATAGAAGCAGACAAAGTGAGTAGGAGAACAGTATCCAGGAGATGGCACACTAACATTTCACAGAAGTATTTTAAAAGCTTAAGGCTAAGTAGACACAGTCAAAAAGCCTGAGGCTGAATCGATTTAGTCTTTTCAGGTTAATCTAAACTGCAGAGATTAAATTGAGAAACAACTGGACACACATTTACTTTTGATTCAGGTAATGCAGCCACATACCTGCAGTGGCTCAGACCAGAAGCTTGGGGGTGCTAGAGCACGCTGTCTGGCGTGTAGCTAGCATGGGCTGTGTGTTTATTTTCTTTTCCTGGTGCCCCTGAGGTCTCTGGGATTTGCAGTCCAGACTTATAGCAGCAGGACTCTTTCTCCTTCCAGGCATAGGCAGGGGCTACTTCCCAGTGCCTCTGGGATTTGTAGTCCACAGCTGTAGCCAGCTGTAAGTATGAGTGGGGGAAGGGGTGTTTAACTTCCCTTCCCTAGTCCCAGCCCCCAGCCAGGGTATGCCTGGGAGTGGGGGGCAGCCCCTGCCTCTCTCTTTGTCTCCCCCCCCCCAACCCCCTTCTCTGCTGGAGCAGACAGCACAGCACAGCACAGCTCAGCCCAGGGCTGGAAAGAATGCTGGGAGACTGATTTAACTTGAACTAGGAAGGAGTCTGGGACAGAAGTTTCATAAACTGGTTTGACCCAAATCACTTAAGTCTGATGCTACACCCAGCCAGGTTTATCATAAACCAGTTTCAGCCATTTTGAAACTGGATTATGTGCACTGAACTTCTATTCTGTTACAGGTTTAAACTGGTTTCCAATCACTTGAAATGGCTTATGTATAACTTCTGTCCCTACCTTTAAGAGAAGGTAATGTCAGATGCCTTAAAAAATGAAGCTGAATATTGACAATATGATATTGATCACTACAGTAGTAAGACCTGCTAATGGCATAGCTAATGGCCTATTTATGTCCCATTTCAGGGGCAAGGTTTTGTACATTCAGTCTGTTAGTGATCAGGAAATTAGTGTAAAGGTGACTCTTAATTTCTGTGTAATTAAAGGGTCTATGCTTGGGACTTCTTTGTGCTACAGCAGTACAAGTAGATAGTAATAATAAGCATAAGTATCTGCACCTCAGTGTTTCTCTGCCAGAAATCCACGTGGCTATACATAGTAAGAATTGAAATTTTCAGTTTAGTTCCATAATATTTTATAATCTTGACAAACTTTTAAGTTTTTCCAAAGTGTAAGAAAAAGACAAGACCCAGAGATAATGACTACCAAACAATATGTATTTATAATTTTTCTCTCCTTCGTCTTTTTGCCATTCTTATTTGTTTTTGTTTTGATATCAGACACCTGCATAATACTGCCATCTTTGCAAAATAAAGTGTTATTTCGAGATATTCTGATCAAGACCTGATAGTTAAGTCTGTGATATAAAATCATGATTTTATTTCCAATTTTAAGATGCTGTTGTGGCCGGCTGATTGGAGATCATCCTGGGATAGATTATAGTTGTCCTGCTTATCAGTCTGTCGGAGAGAGTAATGATGAAGAATGGTGTGTCCAAAAACACACACAGATAAGTCCCACTGATGCATATGGTACTATCAATTTCCAAGACGGTGATCACACTTACCATGCCAAGGTTTGCATACATATGTAATTTTTCTTGATTTTAACATATGTTAGATTGCCCAGTTGTTCCTGCCCAGTCAGCTGCTCTGCTTTCTGCTCCCTGCCCTAACTGCTTCTTTGCTGCTTGTCCCCTCCACTATTTGGTATGCTACACATAGAGGTTGTCCGTGCTACTTATTGCACATATGCTGCCAGTTGACCATGCTGGTTTTAAGAAATATGTAGTGAATACATGTCTATTTTTTCCAGTATGTTAGAATCTCCTACGATAGCAAGTCAGACCAGCTGTTACATCTGATGGTGAAAGAGTGGCAGATGGAACTGCCAAAGCTAGTGATCTCTGTTCATGGAGGCATCCAGAACTTCAAGCTTCCGTCTAAGGTCAAACAAGTTTTCAGCAAAGGACTGATCAAAGCTGCTGAGACTACAGGAGCGTGGATAATTACTGAAGGCATCAACAGTGGTACAGACATTTTTTCTCTATATCTGCCTCTATGCATTTCTTGTTCTTGGTCTTTCTTATATACAGTATATGGGCTTGAGGAATGTTACAATGCAGTTACAGCAATGATTACTATAATGCAATCATTCTGGATACTTATGGCACAAAATAAGATAAAATATTAGAAATAAAGAAAAATTGATATTTTGACTGAGTGATAGACACGAGTGTTTTACAAGATCGGTCTGGTTTGGCCTGATACCGTAAGCCAGCCATCAGCAACCTTTCCTGGCCATGGGTTGGAATAACCCAGCTTGGATTCGAGACAGGCCAGCCCTAGGCCCCTGCTATTACTGCTGCTTCTCCCTATGGACTGTAGGGTGCTGACCCCTGCCCTAAGGTATAGCTATACTATTTATCATTGACTGGATGACTATAACTTTAGAAGGAGATAAATTACAGAAATGTCAGGTTGGGTGTATGAACATATTTATAATAAACCTTCACACACACACAGACATTCTGGAATATTGTATCTGATGCCACAGGTGCGTCTGATACTGCCTGTGTACTTGGCCTTACGTGAAGACAGCTTGGCCTGAACATGTACTCATGTTTGCGTGCTGCTCTTCTGTTCTCTCCCACCACATCTTAATCTTAAGGGATAAGCAGAAGGCTCCCAATGGCACTGGGACTGCACTTGTGTGGCCATAGGTCTCTCTCACGGGGCTCCTGCCTCCTCTTCACCCCATCCACATGCCATACAGATGTTCCTGAAGTGAAAAATTGCTTGTAAAATGAGAGAAAGGAAAAGAAATAAATTCTGTACACCTGACACCCAGTCAGGGTCATCAAAATGTCCAAGTAAGGTTTAAGAGCCTCCAGCCTTGGCTCTCTGTCAGGTCTCCTTTGGCCCTTCTGGCAATTCGTATATGGTCCTTAACTCATGTTTAGATGAGTAAGTAAGTCCAGTCCAGACATGGCGTTCCCCATCATTAAATAGTTCGACTGGACTGATAACGAAAAAACAATATGAAACATAAAGCACTTGGACCCTCTGGTCCCTTAACTTACATTTGAGCTCCAATATTATCTTATTTTATATTAAAAAATCAGAAAAAGGTGTGGCTAAAGAATTTTTCAGAATTGAAAAATCCTTTTAAAATGACTAATCTTTTAATAGTGACTCAGAAACTTGAAAAGTGAAACATTTGCTTGCCCTTTTCCCCCCATTTTACTCAGGTTTAATGTTTTGGGGTATCTCATGAGTGAAAGGTTACTAATTTGTTGTGCAGAATTTTTTTAAATGACAGGCTTGTTCAGAGTGAAATAGTTTATTTGAAATAATACATTTGAAAATAAATCTGAGACCTGTGGCGCATCAACTTTTACTAATGGCCATTCAAAGTAATTGAAATGCTTTAGAATGAGAATTAGATTCAACACATAAAAGTAAACACTAAAGAGGCTATATATTCTTACCCCATGTCAGAGAATATTTATGAAAATACTTTACATTATATAAATAGTTAGCTGCATTGACTTTGCATGTTTGTGACATTAATTGTGAGCATATCTGGATCATTGGGATATATTTGATTTTTTAAAAAAAAATGTTATTTACTATTCCTATAATTTCATATGAAATATATCAACAGAGTATATAATGTTATCTTTTACTTTTTGCTTATCAACTAAAAATAGCTACAAAGCAAAACAGAAAATGTACCACAAATTTGGTAAGCATAGTTGTGCAACAAGAATCTGAATGTATTATTATAGTGGTGGTAGTAGTAGTATTGTTAATTATAATAAAGTTGTCTGTTTAGGAATTTCAAAGCATGTGGGAGATGCACTGAAAGCTCATGCCTCTCAGTATCTGAGAAAGATTTGGGCTGTTGGAATTCCTCCTTGGGGTATCATTGAGAACCAGAGAGACCTCATTGGTAAAGATGTGAGTAAATGAACTTATTGATATCCTTCTTGTTCAGACAGTTGTACAAGGCCACTTTTTACCCAACTGTTCCAGTCTAAGCTGTGTCTTAGGCCACTTGTACACATGACAGGGATTTAGTCCCCTAAACTGAAATGGTGGGTTTCTAATCGTGACAATTAAAAACCCACCATTTCAATTTAGGGGCTTCTGTCACAGTTTTGGTGACTGGCTTAAATCCCCTTTTTTTTCTTTTTTTCTTTTATTTTCTTCCCTGTGGAGCCTGCCCGCCTCTGCTGCAGCTGGGGGGTGAGCTGCTGGTGGGCCAAGTAGCCCCTGAGCTGTGGGGGGAGCCCTGGTCCATCCTTCCCTGGTGACAGCACACCCCTGGGGGCCATCCAGGTGGCGTGACAGCTGCTCCAGGTTGCTGTGCAGGTGCTCCTCCCAGCTCACAGGTAGCACCCAGTGCAAGCTGGAAGCCTGCCAAATGCTCTTCCTTATGGAGGCTCGGGGAAGAGTTGGATCCAGCAGGTGCTGCCTGCAAACTAGGGCAGCATCCCCACAGCTAGCACCCTGCTCAGGGGTTGCATGGCATGGCAGCAGCTCTCACGGGCAGGCTCCACTGGGGGCCAGGGTGGAAGGCAGTGAGGAGCTGACTTAACTTAGCCCAAGCTGGGGCG